GTCCCTCCATGCCGTGGGAACCCTCTTTGAGACTCACAGGTGCCTTGGGATGGTTTGGAAACCCCTGGAATTTCTGCTGCCCCAGAGACAGAATGCAAAGGGCTCGTTTGATTTGCAGGAACCAATGTCAGGGGAAATTATTGGAGACAAATCTCCTTCCCTTTCTTCTTCCACCACTGTGGTTGACCCACTGCATTTCCTTTTCCCTCAGCAGCCTGGAAGACCTTTGGAGGAGGGAAACGAAGCCCAGGAGAGCCCTGTGGGATTCCCACCTTGTGTCCAGCATCCCGGAGCAGCTTGGCTGCCGTCAGCCCCCCAATCCCTGCGCCCACCACGACCACGTGTGCCGGGTGGGCCGTGGGCTCCAGCCCATCCTGGGCAATCTCCAGCAGCTCCTCATAGTCCTGGTCACGGAGACAATACTCAGGAAAGCATGGGAACCGCTTGGCGCTCAGGACACCCACGAGCAGGAGAATTTGGAAGAGGACTGGGGAGAGAAGAAGAGAAGAGAAGGGGATAATGTGGTGCTGGCACTCAAGGTCATTGCTGGTGGCATAGACTGGGTCCAAGGATGTTGATATCCAAGACCTAAAAAGAGGAACTGGGGTGTTTGTGAAATCCCTGGCACCAGCAGGTCCACCGTGGAAGGCGTCAAGTGATGTCACTGACAGCGATTCCTGTTTTTTAAGAGAAACCAACCCACAGATGATTTTTTAGTTCTCCACATTCATGTTCTGCTTGTGCAGCTGCTGTGATGAGTTCCCAAAATGACTTTGACCTCCTTAGAATAAGCTCCAAAGCTTCCAAGGACAGTAATTAGTGTCACTCATGTGCAAAGAGTCAAAGCACCTTTTTGTCCCCAGTGACCTTTCCCATACCTGGGTAATTTGGGGAGTTTTTATGTGAAGGGTGGAGGGAAAAGAGAAGATTGGGCAGATGGATCTGATGAAGAATTGCACAGACAGGAGACACGGAGATAAAATTTCACAGAGAGATGGAAAAATTAGAGGGATGAAGAGAGATGGGATTTAAAATTCTCTAATTAAATTTTTCCACTTAATTTTAGAGAATAGAATTTTACTCTCCTTTAAAATTCACTCCTCTAAAATTCCCTCCTTTAAAATCCTCTCCTTTTAAAAATCCCTCCCAATTTGAAATCCTCTCCTTTAAAATTATTGTGTCTTTGAGATGCCCACAGGGAGCAGCAAACTCCAAAATTACCATTTCCAGCAGAACAGACAAAAGCTATTTAACATTTTCACAGTAAAAGAAAATTTGGGCTGAGAACCACACTCTGTCCCATCCCATACCCACCCCCCCCCTCGGGATTTTCCTAGTTTTGGTTTCTGTTTTTCAAAATAACTAAAAAGCAACTTTCATTTTCTTTTCCTTCTCCTGAGTGCTGCCAATTTTCTTCCAGGGAAAAACACAAAGCTTTGGAAACCCTCCTTTGGGTAATTCTCACTGCTGGAAAATCCCTGGGAATTGTGGGGTTTTTATCTGGAGCAGCCCCAGCTCTGCCATGGATCTGGGGTGGATCTACCAGGGATCCACCTCGGAGCCTTTAGCACCCAAGACCTGAGGCAGGTGTTTCCACTGCCCCTTGAGCTGATCTAGACACCAACCACGAGTGTAAAAAATATTTAGGAAGAATCTGCTCCAGTTGTCCTCTTAGCACTGGGATAGGGTTGGATTGACCTGCCCTGATCACAGAATCATCACGGTTGGATTGGAAAAAGACCTAAGGACCATTTGGGAGATCCTGTTTGGAGATCAGAGCACATCCCCTGGAATCAGCTCTTGGAGGCATTGGCTGGATCTCCACCTTCCATCAGGTGTTTTTTGGGAAGATGTGGAGAAACCACGACTTGGAGCATGGAGGCATCCTCCCGGATGGCCCTCGGAGCTCGTGCCTGTTTCCTGAAAAACCAGGATCATCCCACACCCCAGAGTTGGAGGCGTCCCCCTGCCCATGGTGTCTGGAGCTCCAGGTGACCATGAAATATTCCAGGTGGAAAAAGGGAGGTTTGTGGCTGTGCTCTCAAGAGGTGCAAAGAGATGGAACCAGATGGAACCAAAACACCAAACCCAGACACCAAAGATGAAAGAAAAAGCCCACGGGAAGCTCAGGACTGAGGGGTGGCGTCACTCACCAGTCCCAGTCATCGCTCCAGGAGGAAGATGAATCCTCTGCTGAGATTGGAATTCATTTTATACCCTGGCTTATAGGAAAAAAAAGAACCTGATGCTTCCAAAAAACCCTCTGCCAATCAGTGCAACCCGGAAGGGAGTGAAGTGGGATTTGTCATTAGAAGGGGAACCAGCAATTGAGAGGAGTCAGTTCCTCTGCAGTTTTTTTTCCCTTTAATCACTGGAGTAAAGCCACCAGTCCACTGCATGTTTTGGGACGTTCAATGCTCACCCCAACACGGTGACCACACCCTGCTCCACCAAAGGCAGCAAGTTCCCAGAAGGGAACAATCAGGTTTTTTACTGGTATTGCACAAAGGCTGCTGAAATCTGAATAATCCTCACAGGGATCCTTCTGAACCCTGGGGAGACCTTGACCCGGCATTCAAAATACAATTTCAGGGATGAAAACGAGCATTTCCAGGGAAAATTCATCTACTGGATGCTCTTGGGTGTTGACAATTTTGGCTTGATCTTGCCTCCATTAGAACAGAGGGGATGAAGAATTGTTTGAGTGGGAAGGAGATCTCAAAGATCATCCAGAACTTCACTGAAATGATAAAATCTGAGTATTTTTCTAGAAATGAGACCAGCATTTTTCCAGAATAGAGAGCCTGGACTTGCCAAAGCACCATAAACTCATCTGAGGATCCATCTCTTCATTCTTGGACTGAGAGCTCCAGTCTCCTGCTCAGAGCCAAGACCCTCACCGGGCTTCATCCTGTTCAACCACCACAAAACTGTGGGGTTTCACTAAATATGATCATTAAATATCTCACGATGGAGGAACATTCAGTCCAACAAAATTTAGGTAGAATTTTGGAGATTCATGTCAAGGGTCTTTGCGGATTGCATTTATGGGATCTCCTGGTTTAGCTGGAACTGTGACATGGAAACTGGGGACTTGTAGTGCTGGGTTCAAAGGATTTCCTTAGGAGAAGCCACAGTGTGGGTTTTGCCCAGAATTTTGCTTTTTGGTGGAGTGTGGGGGTTTTTGTGGTTCCTGGTTGTGCTGGTTTGAAGGTAAAAGCTAGCAGGGGAAATTAACCCCACACAAATACCTTGTGAGAGATTTTAAGTCGTAGTTACAATTTAATAGAAAAATTACAGTAAATGCAATGGATACAGAAAATTGGCTTAAAACCACAGAGTACAGCCTGGCCCCTGTGAGTCAGGGTGGTGGTCACAGTTTGATTAAGCAGTAGTTTGTTTCAGTGCTGTTCAAGTGATGGTTGCAGTCTTAACTTGTGGCCCTGTGGAACTTCTGGCCCTCCTCTGGGTCCATCCAGTGGCAGTGGTGTCCCAAGTACTTAGACGTGGTTTTAGATTAGATTTAGGTTAGATGTGGTCAGATTCAGGTGGGACATCCCCCAGGGCGGGGAGTTTCACAATGCAATGATGCAGTCCTACAAGTCATAGGATGTTTTTGGGGCCCTTGACGGCTCTTGATGGCAGGGATGACTCCTTCCAAACGGGCGTCACTGTGGTGTCTTGGTTAAAATTGGGTGACAAACACCTTTGGAAAGTTTCCTTCTAAGAAAAATTGAAGGACTGAAGGTTTTTCTTGTTTTTTTTTTTTTTTTGGTCTTGGAGCATTTAAGGGAATCCACCCGTTGGATTGGAAAAAGGTAAATGTATGAGTTTTTTTAGAAAAAATACCCCTTGGTTTGGGTGTGGTTTTATGTTTTATGATTTATGATTTGTGGTTTGCTGGTTGTTCCCCTGTGGGGTGTCAACGCTGAACTCCCAAAACCACACATTTTCTCCATCTGGAATAACAAATCCCGAGGGATTTGGGAATTGCACAATGAATCTGCACAGATACACATTCCCAGGGACAGCAGAGAGTTTTGAGTGAGGGCAGCTGGTTTCACATTGTCCTGATAAGACCTGGATTAATGCGTGTCCCAACAAGTTGTTTCGGGATCAACCTCAATGATGGGGATTTGCTTTCTGGGCATCAGCAATCCACCAGTTGCAAAAGTTGTCCCACCCATCTTCCTGTTCCCATCTGTTGATTCCCTGAAGGTTACGGGAAGCTGAGTTTCTGCCTGACACCAGTTGCATCACAATGCAGAGAATCAGAGGGTGCGAGAAGGGATGGTGATTTCTTTCCAAATTGCTGTTCTCTGGTTTTAAGGTTTACTTTTCTTGATGGAAGCAGTGGGAAAAAAGTGGGATTTCATTCCACATGTTGTGTGGGATGTTGGAGAGCACTTGGAATGGAGGAGGGTGTCCACCCAGGAGCGTTTCCCTGCAGAGATGAAAAATGACAGCGTATGTAAAGCACAGGGAAGGAAAAACCCGTGTGGATTTATTAATGAGGTAATTAGCTTTAATGAGTTTCTGGGCCGGCAGGCACAGGTTGGAGAGGTTTGGGCAGGTCCTGCTGAGGAAAGATGCCCTTTCAAAGCATTTTCTTGTCCTTCACTTCCTGTTTGCCCAGAGGATTCCCAGGATACACCTGTCGCATGTACTCGTGAGGCAAAGCTTTTGGGACTGGGGGGATAATTAAGAAATGAATGAACCACGTTGGAGTTTCTTGGCTGAAACTGTCCAAAAGTGGGGCTGTCCTCATGGCAAGGATGTGGAGCTGATGGAAGAAATTCAGAGGAGGCCACAGAGACACTCCCAGGCTGAAGAAGTTGTGGTTTTCCTGGAGAACTGAGGGTTCCTTACTGGGGTGGTAATACTGGGGCTTCCAGTGTTTGAAGGGAGTGGATATGACAGGGACAAATTTTTATCAGGTATAGGAAAAGAAAAAAAAGACAGAAAATTATATTAAAAAATGAGTTTTTAGGAAAAATGTGTGACAGAAGTGGGATGTGAACCCACGCCTCCATTTGGAGACCAGAATTCATGCAGCAGGGATAGCAGGGTCTTAAGTGTAGTGCCTTAGGCCACTCAGCCATCCTGACACTGCCAGGTACCTTCTTCACCCTCCTCATCCTCAAGGATCCATCTTCCGAGCACTTGAGCTTTCCTGCTCCCTTTGCAGCATCCGCCCCCCCCAATTTTATTTAGTTTTCCCAGCAATAAACTTCATCCCAAGCTGTTTTCTACTCCATAGTGGTGTGGGATGAAGGGAAGAGGAATTCTGGAGCTGCTGGCCCCTGCAATTGCTCCCTGGCCGCTGCTGGAGCCCTTTGGGGACCCTGAGGATCCGGGGGTTCCTCCTGCCCCAGCCTGGGAGTTTCGGGGTATTTATCCCACCACTTTTATTCATGGAGTTGTTATAAGCAGACCACTCGGAGTTTCGAGGGGAGAAAAGCCACTTATTTTCACCGGGAAAACACCATCAGGGCCACTTTTCCAGGTGGAAAACAGGAATTTCTTCCTGCCTGCTGCTGATTAGGAACCAGCAGTGTCCCGTCACCGGGGGAGAATCCCAGCGAAACCCTTCCACATTCCCAACACTCGATCCATCCCTGCTCCTGCTCTCCCAGTCCTCAAACCCTCCGGGTCCCAAATGAGGGGAGCATGGGAGGTTCCAAAGGATCTGTGGGAGGTTTAGGGACGGGTCCGGGACTGGGCTACCTCTAGAGGGCTCTGGCTAAGCCGAGCTGCTCCTTGTCTCTCCTCTCTCTCCCGGATACCGGCTTGGGCTTCCGGAGCGGAGCCGAGCTCGCCGTCGCCTCCATTGTGTCCCGCTGGGGGAGGCTTTGTGGTCCTGGGCGTGCAAGGGGGGTCTGGGCATCGCCCCCTCCCTGCAGCCTCGGCTGGGAACGGAGGGCGCTGCTCCTGAGGAAAAGCCCCGTGGGAGCAGAGCCGGGGCCGGCAGGTAACGGGGCGAAGGAGGAGCAGGGATGTGGCTCGGCTTCCAAAGCCGGGATGTTCCCGGCAGCAGCAGCTCCTCTGCGGAGAGGACAAGGACGGAGAGGGAGCCCTGAGCTCCGCAGGGATGAGGATGAGGATACAGCCCCCAGGGCCCCGTCGCTGATTCTCGGGGGCATGGTGTTATAAATGAGAGACAAAAGTCTCGATATTCAGCAAAATTTAGGTTGCTTTATTTGATATAGAAAGAGCAAGCAGCGCTCTGGGGAACGTGAGGGGTCACCGCCCACTCCACGCTCCACCGAACCTTGGTTTGCAGGCTCTTCTTATACTATGGTTTCTCGTTGTAATCAGTAATTTTTGTGGTTTTTTGCTGTCATAATTTTGGGAGGTAAGCAGTGGTGGTCGAATAAACATCCTTACACAAATTCCCAAAGCCTTTGGGCGGTAATCAGTCACAGATAGCCATCTGGTCCTTGTAGATAACCACCAAAGAAGTTCTGGAAGTCTGCTCCTTGAGATAAGCAGCATTGATCAGACAAAGGCAGGGAAGGTTATTGGGAAGTCTGATTTTGCAAGCTGGTAGCCGATACAACTTATTTGGAAAACATAACATAATATACCATAACAAGGTGATTTTAAACAGAATGATTTTATCATGTAATTTCCTTTATCTAGTGTCCATGCTTCACTTCAGAGCTTAGTATTCTGGTTTATACAAACCCCAATGCTTTTGTGATTAACACGAATCTTTTATCAATTATCACAGTGGGGACGCAGAGATTGTTGTGGGATGGGGTCTGCCAGAAAGGCGGCGGGGAAAGCAGAGACCCTCCTGCCCCGCCGTTCCCGCATTGCTGTGGGGACGCTCAGGATTAGTCCTGGATGGAGGGACTGTGAAAACCTGATATTCCTCGGAGTCACCACAGGAAAAGCATCAAATCTCGAGCGGGAAGTGCTGTAGGGGGGTGGGAAATCCTTGATCTCAAGAGATTTCTCCTCCCTGCAGGGGATTTTGGGGAGCCCCGAGGGAGGAATCTGCATTGTCCCGGTGCTTCCTCCTGCCATGGAGCCGTGGGTGCTGCTGGATCCACGGCAGAAGGCTCTGTACCTCGATGTGATGCACGAGAGCTATGAGACCCTCATGGCCCTGGGTAAGGACACCCAAAAAAATCTCTCTTTCTTTGCTGTTTATCCCCCTATCCTTTCCTTGCTCCAAGCAAAGCAGTTTGGGAAGAGGGGTGGAGGGATCTGGGCAAGTTTCCAGAGGGACTTTCCCAAACCCCAGCCCTCTTCTTAATTCTTTTTCTTCAGAAAAATGTTATTCATCTCTCCTAATTTATGTTGAAAATTCTGGCACTGGAGTGTCCTTGGCATCTCCACATTTCCAGTTCAAACTGGGATCAGCTCCCTGTTGTATCTCTCTTCCTCCTCTCTTGGAGAACAAGATTTTTGAGGGGAATCCTGTTGTTGGTCCATTGTTTTAAATCCTTTAAATCCCTGCTCAAATCAGGGCTGTGCCTTCCCCTTTTCCTCCTCCTCCTGTTTCGCAGAAGCTCAGGGGATGGGGAGTGAAAAAAGTGAAATTTTAAAGGAGAATCCTGTTGCTACTCCACTGTTTTAAATCCTGTTCCTCACGCTTTCACCTTTTCCTGCTTCTCCCTTTTCCCAGCAGCTCAGGGGCTGGTGAGTGAAAAAGCTGCAGAGAACGGAGCATCAGAGAGCAGTGCTGGGCTTGCACCACACTCATCCCACAGCCTGGAGCAGGAGAAGCCCCTTGGCTCCAACAGGCGCAAAGCGAAGCGTCCAGACAGAGCTGTGCCCCCTGGGACCCCTAAACCCACCATGATCCCCAAACTCAGCTGTGCCAAACCCCTGCGTGGAAAAGGACCAGCCCGGGAGCGGCCGTTTTGCTGCGCTGACTGTGGGAAGAGCTTCCCGTGGGCATCGCACCTGGAGCGGCACCGGCGTGTCCACACGGGCGAGCGGCCCTTCGGCTGCCCTGAGTGTGGCGAGACCTACAGCCAGAGCTCGCACCTGCTGCAGCACCGCCGCACCCACGCCAGCGACCGTCCGCACAAGTGCGGGGACTGCGGGAAGCGCTTCGCCATCGCGGCCGAGCTGGCAGCCCACGGCCGTGGCCATGCCGCCGACAAACCTCACAAGTGCGGGGACTGTGGAAAGGGCTTTGTGTGGGCATCGCACCTGGAGCGGCACCGCCGTGTTCACACCGGCGAGAAGCCCTTCGGGTGCCCTGAGTGCGGCGAGGCTTTCAGCCAGGGCTCGCACCTTGCCAAGCATCGCCGCAGCCACACGGGCGAGCGGCCGCACCGCTGCCCGGCCTGCGGGAAGACCTTCTGCCAGAGCTCTGACCTGGCGCGGCACCGCCGCATACACCTGGGCAGGAAGCCCCTGCGCTGCGGGGACTGTGGGAAGCTGTTCCGGGCAGGGCCAGCGCTGGCGCGGCACCAGCGGTGCCATCGCCGGGAGCACTTGCACCGCTGCGCCGACTGCGGGAAGGGCTTTGTGTGGGCATCCCACCTGGAGCGGCACCGGCGCGTCCACACGGGCGAGCGGCCCTTCCCCTGCAGCAGCTGCGGCGAGCGCTTCACCCAGAAGGCTCATCTGCTGCAGCACCGCAAGACCCACTCCCCGGAGAGGCCCTACAAGTGCGCTGACTGCGGAAAGCGCTTTGGGGAAGCCCCCCCGTTCCTGGCACACCAGCGTGGCCATGCCGTGCATAAGAACTACACCTGCAGCGACTGTGGGAAGAGCTTTGCCTGGGCGTCCCACCTGGAGCGGCACCACCGCGTTCACACCGGTGAGAAGCCCTTTGAGTGCCCTGAGTGCGGCGAGGCTTTCAGCCAGAGCTCACACCTCGCCAAGCATCGCCGTAGCCACCTCCCCAAGGCCGCGGGGCCATCACCCCTTGCCAGGACACGGCTCGTTGGGGACATGCCTGAAGCTCACAGCGGTGAGGACTCCTAAGGACTAAGACCCCCCTCGGTGTGATGGATGGGGAGAGAGACAACCGAGGGAAAACTTGCCTTGGAGACAAGCCAAAGGACACTAAGTGACACTTGAAGGGCACTGGGGTGGGTGACAGGGGTGCTCTGTCGTGACACAGCGTGGCATGTATCTGCTGTGCTGTCTCCCCACAGCAATGGGTGAGCATTGCACCTGCTGCAGTCCAGACCCCAGAAAAGGGACAGCCTGGGGGAGAAGGAGCCTATTCCTGAAGGAAACGGCACTTGGCTCCATCAGGGAAGGGTGGAGGAACCAGGGTTGGTTCTGATGTGAAAATCCAGTGGTGTTGTGCCCACTTCGTGCTGCCAGCGGATGGGAGAAGGGAATGGAGGGGGCAAGATGCTCAGGGTGAGCAGGGGGTACTGGCACAGGGCAGGAATAAACTGGGAGCCCTGCAGCTCATGGACAGCTGTCTCTCTTTGTGCTCCGACCCTGTGCTCTGATGCTTTCCCTGCTCCAGGCAGGACACCCCACGAGCGACTTCTTCCCCAGAGACAAAACCACACGGACACACATGGAGGACTTTTGCTTTTTGGCTCAACTACCTTCTACTTTATTAACTGTCAGTCTAAGCCCAGGAAACATGGCCTGGCTTCTCCAGCATTCCCACCTTTATGCATCCCAACCCGGCCTTTGTAGACCCCCAGCAGAGTCTGGGGAGGTCGCAGCAGTGCTGGTGATGGGTGCAGTTCCCCAGGGCTCTTTTCTGAGCTGTTTGGCCTCAAAAATCCCATGGTGTGGTTTCACGTTGCCATGCACCCAAATTGTGTCCCCCGCCTTTTACCTCCCTACTAGTAGGGCAGATGATGAGGAGGGTTATAGGGAAAAGTGTCTCCCCACCACCCCAAATTATATCCACCTCTCCCCTAATCCACCCTCAGCCTACCTCATCCCTCCTCTCCCTGTCTCCCCCCCAAAACCCTCTTGGCAGGCATGGCTGCCCCTCCCTGTGCCCCCTTCCCACCACATCAACCCACATCCCCACCCTGACCCTCATTTTGGGGTATCCTGGGCCCCCCAAGCCCTTTCCCATGCTGAGGTAAGAGCACAGACCACCCTCCCACCTTGGCTGTGGGCTGGCCCCAGAAGAAGAGGGGGACTCTGAGCACTCCAGCCC